GAATTCCATGGGGGGGAGGCATGGGGGAACACTGCCTAAGAAAGTCCACGTCAATTTCTGACAATTTACAGGAGTTTTCGGCGAAGCCTGCAAATTGCCGTAAACTGCCGTTAACCTGAAGTTCCACGACAATCTACAGTGCCGCATATTGACGAAAATCCCACTTTTCATGCAGTGAGGCCTCTGGTAGAGGACCCGAGCTCGGAGGATGAAAGAGACCACCTGCGGAGGGTGAAAAGGTATTATAATATAACTGCTTCTTTGTGTGGAGTTTCTGTGTTGATGAAATTTTTGTGAAGCAATAAAAGCTGGTAGCTCTTGAATTGCTACAAAATAAAGCTGTATTTCCCTCTGCCTACTGGCTGCAATGTTGACACCTTGAGATGCCATGAGATCTAAATCCTGAACATTATGGCATGGTGTGATCCCAGTTTTCCATGTCTGGCTAATAAACTGGTTTTATTGATCCTGTGTCCAGACAGAGGGATAATCAGTAGCCCAGCATCATGACCTGTTTGTTCTGAAGATCACCCAGCTTCCACTTCTCTTCCTAATATGGTGCCTCCTCACCCTGACTCTCATACTGACAGGAGGAACCACAGAGCTCTGTTACGTTAAAGCTCATCTTCTGAAGTTGGGATATTTTTCCTCAAAAAGGTTACAGAGGAAGCACCTCAACTCAAATCAGTTGTTGTACTGGATTTTATTTCACTGTCATTTGTGAATGTTAGAGCCTCATTTTCAACAGTGGAGCTATAAAGGTTGAAAAAGGTTATTTTGGAGAAAATCTCATCAACATCAATATTTCCACTAAATAAGAAGCAAAAAAAATAGATAGAGGAAAAGCCTCTCATACTCTGAGCTCAAAGCGAGATGCCAGAGAGCAACACAACTATTATTTTTAAATTAGACAATTTAATTTCACATAATTATCGCGGTAGAAGCCATTTGTTTGTTACTTAATGAAACATATTTACCATGTTTGATGTTTGTTGTAAATGACGTATAGTCATAAAGAACAACATAATTAGTCCAAGTTTGTCGTTTATTGAACGTTCAGAAACTACAGCTGCTGTGATGAACCACAGCAAAGGTAAACAACCTGAACAGGTGATCAATTCAAAACCACTCTCACCTTTTGTCTCTGTCGTTTAAGCACAACCATTGCCATGGCAACCTCGTGCTCCTTTTCGGGAGCACCGATAACGTTAAAAACGTAACATTCAGCCCGTCACGATATCATTTTTTCAGGCTTGATATTTATTTTGCGATTATTAATAAGCCTCCCTGAACACAGCGGTGGTTGATTAGTTCATTTTAAACTCCTGCTCTGCTGGTTATGTTGGTAATGGAACCGAAACATTAATTACTGAGATTATTATTTTTGTTGTGTCATTAATTTGAACATGTTTTGATTTTTTTTTTTTTTTTGTTCTTTAATAACGTTTTGATAAGGAGTCAGAGGAGGACGTGGTCTCAGCGTCCTTGCGTCGTTCAGTTTGTCACCTAATGCGGAGATCGACTCAAAACCTTCCAAGATCACCGACGTATTGCACCGCTGCTCTAGCAAAGCAGGAACAGTTGAGAAACAATATAAAATCGGGGAGGGAAGCCATTTATTAAGTAGTGTTTTGAATTGTTCTTGAAAAACCAATCAGTCACGGCTGATTAGTGGGTGAACTCACGGCTGCACAGTGAACCCATTGATTTTTTTTTTTAACAGCTGACAGCCGATCACCTCTCTTGCAGGTACTGCGTATCCCCGCTAAATCTTTTAGGGGTACGCAGTGCCTACCGTATCCTCCTACTTTCACCCCTGCTAATGAGCCCGACAAGGTTGTCAAAGTGAAGTGAAGGTGGGGAAACAGGGCCTAGATGTATTCAAGTGTCCAAAACGGGTGTGAATTTACAGTCACCTTATATAAACGTTTTCCAAGTAAAACCACAGTTACAAAAGCACAAATTTATTGTGTTTTGGATGAATTTGTCATATTTCAAAACTTTGTAGAAAATCTGTACACTTGAAAATTATGCAATTTTTAATGGCATATAGAAAATACTGTTTGTACATAAACAATGTTTCTGTCAAAGAAAGCAATGTAATTTTTATTTTATTTCAACAATTTTACAAGGTGAAATACAGTACATGTAGTTGCAAAGTCAATATAATTGTCATATGAAAAGTCATATATTCCTTTTTGAAAATAATTTTTGGAGAGGAAAGAAATACTGCCTCTGGCAAATACCACAAACAACTATATTTGCACAAATTTAAACTATAATTTAGGACTGTATTAACTAGGTGATCACCAACACACTGGAACTGATTTCCTTAAGTTTGGGATACTGGTATTGACCAAAACCTCCATGTGACATACATGTTATCTAAAGGTGTCATCTAAGTTAGCAAAAATCAAATACTATCCATCTTTAGCTCTGCTGTGAAAGGTTTGACTGAGGAAACGGTCAACCAGGTAATGTTTGCATTTTAAAAGTTAATATTTAATTCCTGCATCAAACTGAGCCACTTTCTCATTATATTTAGCAACAATCAGAATACGAATTTTTTCCCCCAAAGATCTTAATCAGCAGATAATTATTTTTCTTTTCTTAAAGATTGTTATTTGTTGATCATCCAGAATTGCCACCGGTGCACCTTTTACAATGAAATTCACAATGGCAAAATTTCTAAAGATTAAGACTGAGTCACGATTATGGGAGCAACAAAGCTGTCATTGCCTGAACAGTTTCAATATAAACTCCCAGCGCCTGTGTGAGAGGAACATCGGTGTTTGGCAATGCCGCAAGGTCTTCTGCGTTTAATGGGCACATAAGTTGGACCTCAGGAATACTGATGTTAGAAGTGGATGGGGTATGTGGACCTTCCCAGTCTACACCATAGTCATCACCAACCTAAATACAAAGAATATGGTCAGTGTACATAAGCTAGTACAAAATGTACTTCAAGTTAAAAGTTTTACCTCCGAAAAGTCACGTCCTTCCTTCTCATTTAGTAGCCACAACTGCAAAGGTGTATAGTGGCTCGAAGTTCGTAGACCATGGTTATCCCATGCCTCCTTGAAGCAGTGAAGGCCATGTTGAATATGTGGCATGAAGCATCTGTGTAGTGAATACAACTCAATCTCATCATCTGGATTTAGAATTCCCTCGGCTTCCATTTGCATGAAGACTGTGTAGTACAGATCAAGCACATTCTAATAAACATTTCTCCAAAGGCGCTCTATTCTGTATGGGAATAAAATGCATTTATTCTTTAGCACACATTGTACAACAGATAATATACAAACTTGAAGCTCTTGACAAATGATGTTAGATCGAGTATAAATTCAGTACATTTAAGAAAAAAATGGTATGAACATATTAAAAATTATGAAGAAATTGGATATTGATGTTAATTATCACAGAGAAACTCTGGCACTGTAAATGTTTTTTTGTTTTTTTTTGCCTTCGACAGTATTTTTACGCCTAGTCTCCCAACCCCCTCATACCTCTGGTTATGCACACTTCTTCTAGTCATATGAGAATTCCTGTTCACTCCATTAGTTTGGACCATAAACTGAGCAATCATCACATTTTCACCCCCCTTGTCAGATCTGTAGACATGAGTACAGGTAATTGAAGGATTAACAAAGCAAAAAAGGAGAGAACTACATCCTTGACCAGCACAATGTAAAAAGACAATGCAACCAGAAATTCAATATATGGACTTATAAATGATAATGCAGCAGTAAGTAATCCATATTACATCTGTATATAATAAACATTAAATGCAATTATAATAACGTGATAAATTAAATGAGAACACTGAATTACTGTTGAAAAATGAGCCTAAACATAATTATTTCTGTCTCACATGTAGTTCTTAAATTTTCTGTGTGATGCAATGTAGAAAAATGAGTGCAAAACATACCGAACTCGAGAAGGTACACCATACTGGCCAGCAGCCGATATGAAGCTATGGAGAACAGTCAAAGCTCTATTGTTGGTGGAAGCATCAAGGTACACTATTAACCTGGAAAATCCATCTACTCCACCATGGACCACGATCCTCCATCTATGGAAAAAAGAAGCCGAAACACATACTTTCATATATAAATGACAGACTTGACATACACACAAAATATATATATTAGACTTGCGCCGATCAGGTTTTTTCCTACCGATACAGATCACCCATGAGGGCCGGTCACCGCTACCGATCACGTAATAATAATAATTATTATTATTATCATAAACACTACCGGTTACATTATGGGGAAAAAGGAACCATGAATTCACCTTAATTCAGACAAAAACTTGTTTTTAATAACTTTTTCTAATAAGAAAACAGGCATTGTGCAAATTGTACTGCTATTGATAATACTACCTTTAACAGACTGAGAACATATGAAGGCTCTGAAGAGGCTAAATAATGAAAAGAGCCAAAATAAAACCTCCCAACTTTTCCAAAAAACTTCAAGTATAAAACTTAACATTCAAAGGCAAAAACAAGTTCCATTACAATGGGTCTTTTGCATTCACGTGACCTCGACACAAGGTGGCGCCATTTTGGGGGGTGACCTGCCTAATCACAGTGAAGTTCATTGAGTTCAAGTAAAGACAGTAAAGCCGCGATGACAGCGCGATAACTTCAGTAACATGGACATCAACAATAAAAAAGAGAAGAAGCCTTACAGAGATAAACTAAACAAGGAAGCCAGAGACTGGTATTTAGCTAAGCTAACCTCAATTAGCAATATAGATCCATATGAGCTAGCAGCTAAAGAATGGACAGCCGATCCCTCGCTATTTCCACCAACTACAAATATGGACATAATTTGTTATCTAGTTAATGGTGTTAGTGCATGTACACTGGAAGAATTCCGAAACTACAAATCTCTGGAAGCTCATGGATTCTTTACTAATGGTTGGGTGCAAGATTTATTCTCATTTCAACCAGAAGGATGCACTAACACTGTGGTCACCACAAAGGTAAGATGTTAGCCAAACTTGTACAAGTCTTCACGTCACAGCTTTATCTAAGTGTAAATTATGGCGCATCAGAACCTATCAAGCGCCAAAAAGCTTCCAAAATTATTAAACTACATAAAGCTCTTTTACATGGTTAATAAATTTAATCTTGTGACCCCTGGGATATTAAGGTTCATAGCAAATATATAGGTGGTTTTTTTTTGTTTTTGGTAAAAAAAAAAAAATGGGGACATCTGGGACAAAGTTTGTAAAAAACATCAGGTCACCCTATCTAGGTGAGTAACACAGTACTTTAGTTTTATGCAAATATTCTAAGTACTTTGCACTTTCTTTTTGCATGTTTTATTATAGGTGATGCACTCCCAATGCCTGCGAGAAGCGCCACTCAATCCCTGGGCCATCATCGAGTCATCTGGGGCTATATCCTCTGCTCACTGCACCTGTATGGCAGGCATAGGAGAATCTTGTACACATGTTGCTGCTATGTTGTTTAAGTTGGAGGTAATTGTCAGATGCAGAGAGACAGTGACAGTGACTGGCAGACCAGCATACTGGATGATTCCAGGTAATCTTTCTAAAGTGGAACCAGAGCCTGGATATAAAATTGATTTCACAAGTTCAAAGGCAAAAAGAAAGACTCTGAACAAACTCTTGGAAGGAGGGTCTGTAGCTGCACCTGGCATCAGAACAAAACGGACAAAGACAACTAGTACTGTGTCAAATGAGCAGTTGGACTCCTTTTTTAGGGCAATTCACAAGGCATCACCACAAGCTGCTGTGCTATCATGTTTGCCTGAATATTGTGAAGCATTTATTGACCAGGTCCAACCATTCACTGTACCACGTACCCTTCACTCTCTATGTGATGCAACAATGGAGGGCAAGGATATATCTGTTTTGCGCAAGCACTGCAAATCACTTGTTAGTAGGACCGCACTTTCAAACAAGCAAGCTGAATACATAGAATGTACTACAAGAAAGCAAAACAAATCTTTAACATGGCATCACTATCGTGCTGGGAGGGTTACAGCATCTAACATGCATTCAGTTTATGTAGCAAATCTGGACAAACCTTCACAGTCTGTTATTAATGCTGTGTGCTATCCTACAAATGAAACAAACAGCTCTAGTGCAATTGCATAGGGGAGACAAAATGAGGACAGTGCCAGGGAAATGTACAGACTACAGTCTAACAGAGATCACTTTGGTTTTGAGGTGACACAGTGTGGTTTTTTTGTGAACCCAAAGTTTCCAGAGGTAGGAGCATCACCTGACAGCCTTGTGCATTGCATCTGTTGTGGCCGAGGATGTATTGAAATTAAATGCTCATATAAGTACTGTGACCTAACCGTGATTGAGGCTTGCAATAGCTCTGACAGGAACTTCTGTTTGGAATTACATGAAGGGGAGATGCTAAACCCTGTTTTTCTCCTATTTGTGTACATTATATATATATAAACTCTAAAGTACATATAACTCTAAAGTTATGTATATATATATATATTTTTTATATATATAAAGAACCACAAAATGCAGAAAATCAGACCAGTGTATTTCAGTTATCATGAGACAACTGTTGAGCCATTCGTGTTTATTGTCATTAGCTACTTACAAACAGATGGGCACAGAATTGTCAATGCGCAACACACTGTAACCACTTTATCTAAAAGGGTGACATCCTCACCTTCACATGGCAGTATAAGAGAGATTGGCATTGTCCCTGTCAATATCTTATATTTCTGATTTACATTTCCAATAACCCTTTCAACGTGAATTCTCAGATGTGCTATTTTTCTTGTTTCCTCCACATTTTTAGCATCCAGCTGACACATTTAGTAAAAGCTTTAGTAAAAGCTGGGAGTTTAACCTCCGCACACAACATGCCAACATTTTCCTGAATATCAAAACCTCTGTCAGCCAAAACGATGTCCCCTGGCAACAGTTTATCCAGAAACCCACTATTCAGGGTAATATGTTTATCACTTGTACGCCCCCCCCATCCCTTTGACAAAAAACAGATGGCTCCCTTGGGTGTAATGCCTATCAGGTACTTCATGGTGTGATTGTGCTTGTAACTTGAAAACATTTGGGCACATGCTTTGACATTGGAAGGTCTCTCTGTGAAAATTTCGAAGCAGTCAATGACAGCAACTCGATCGCCAAACGACTGTACAAATTGATGTGGCATAACTTTGCGTAAGGTGTCTCTGTCTGGCCATATAATGGCATTTTTTAGAAATGTATATAATCGTGAGATAGTGTCGCTAAAAGCTCTGTACACAGTACTAGGAGACACAAAAAACATATTGGCAAGAAGATAGACAGAAACATCTAGTCGAAGCCGCATACATGTTAGAAGAAGCATTTGATATGGTGTGAGTAGTTTCTTATTGTCTGAAGTGGCAGGCACCAAAATCGACACAATTTCCATGAATGTTTGTTTATTTGGCAATCCTGTATAGTGCCTAACTTTGTCATTGTCATCATCTGAAAAAAAAAAGTATCACTGAATTTAACTTTGTCAAATTGGTGCCTCAGATCTCGATTTTCTTCCAAAAGTCGATTTATTTCTGCACATTTTAGAATGCATGTGCCACATTCAGGGATGCCATTCAGTTGTCCATCTTGCTGTTGTGTATCACCAGTCTTGTCTGTAATGGCATCTTCCAGTACCATAACTGCAGACAGCTCATTGTCCACCGGGATGTGTTGACCACACACCTCTCCATTCTGCTGGACCACTCTCTCTGCCTCCTGCAGCATACTGTTCCTCAGCTGCTGGCGTTTACCTCGCCTTGCGGAGCGTGCACTGTCAGTTGGTTGAAGATCAGTATGACAGTCTGGATCAGTTTCCATCATCTCATAAGCAGGTTGACCTGTAATTACATTTTGAGATAATAAATACAAACTGTTATATAAAGATTTCTGTATATGTTATAAGAAGTTAGAAGACAGACTTTTATTGGTTCTTTGTCCTGGTTTAGTCTTTAGTTCTTGTTTTTCCCTGTTTATGTCCTGGTTTAGTTCTGATTTAGACCAGATTTAATGTTGATCTAGGCCTGATTGCATTCATTTTAAATACGGTAGAGCTGTTCCTCCATACCTAAAATATCTTATCTGTGCAAAGCCTAAAAACAGATTTATGTAAACATCCTGTCAGGTAAACTAGGCCATGAAAATACAATATGGAAGTTTCACTACTCTTCTCTAATTAGAGTATCTTAGTGGCACATATGGGAGAATTATCCTGCCATAATGAAAGAGCACATAATTTCAACTTGAGAAAAGAATTTCATCTTCTTGCACTCAAAACTTATAATGCTCACACTCAAAACATGCGCTCTCTCTCAAATATTTTCTCTTCTCTCTCAAATCTTTGTTTCTTCTCTCAGATTTAATGCTTCTTGCACAGAAGCACACTTATAAGAGCGTCCGCTGAAACTGCTATTTACAGTATTTTTGTGGCTGATTGTTGCTTCAAAATAGAAAACCTGGTTTCATTTCTTAGTTTTGCCCTGGATTTTGTAGCGTTTGTGGACGCTACGTCGCTACTTGATCAAAGCAATAACGTCACTACAGGAAAGTTACTTGATAAATAAAGCAGCGACGCTACGGTCAAGCTACTGGAACATGTAGTTAAACTAATAGCTTCGCTACATGTAGCGGCGCTACTGCCCACTAACTGCAGCATCACAAACTAGAAAAACAAAAAAAAAGCAGGATAGATAATCTACTTACTTTTATGACAATGCAAAGAACAAACGCATATTCGGAGAAATGTGATTGAAAGTGATATCTTTCCGTCGGACAGCTGCAACCCAGGCTATCCTGCGTCTCCGGCTAATGTCCTCCATTTGTAAGCCACGATCTTTTCTCCAGGCAGGAAACCTGAAAAATTTGATGCCAGAATGTCCTTTCTTGCCGGAAGTAGTACTCCCACAGCCTTTAACACAACAAGAACGAGCCATTTTAATCTACAAAAGAAAAGGTAAATCTCCTGGGACGCTTGAATAGCAGCTCTAACTTCTCGTACGGTAACCCCCCAATATTGCGCTAATTACCCACAATGCACAGGGCGTGACGTCACGTGCGAAAGACCCATAAACAATTCAGAGTTACTGAATGAAAACTTCCTGACAGCATGGCAGCTAGCTGATTACTGCTAGCTCTGATTGGCTGTTTCTGACTGAGCGGAGAAATTATGCAGAACAGGGAGGACACCAATTATTTTTTCAGAGATTATCTGTCTCATGTTAGGGCAGCAAAAGTTTTAATATGTATGTAAAATGAATTTTTTTAAGTTAGATGCTGCAGCTTTAAGCAGAGGTTCGGTGTGAGAGTCACTACCAGGTGGAGCAGAAGCGAAGCTCCCTCTGTGAAATATTACTACCCGTAGCGTAGCGGATGTTCAACAGCGAGAGCAGAACCAGCGTCTTACATCGCAGCTCAAAGACTTAAATAATTTTGCGGGTTATTTGTTTAGTTTTCTGACCATCATGCTAATCCGGGTTAGTGTTTGTAGCTGAGAGAGAGAGACAGAGATACTGACAAAGACTTAAAGGATTGAAACCTTAACAGGTATAGGACACTAAATTAACAAAGAAGGATATAACACAACATAACACTTAAATGAAAGAAGCCAAATTTTCACCTAATTAGCGTGTGATTCCCATCTATGTGCCACAGACTGTTGGGAGCGGGAACACTGTACTGACGGCGCCTTACAGTCTGGATGGATAATCGTCTCATCAAGATGGCCTCTGGATCAAGTCGATGCATTGATGCCCTTAATCGATGCCCTTTTTGAAATATGTAATGATTATAATGAATTGAACATTGCCAAAACTAGAAAAAGCTGTTTCTGAGAAACAGCAAAGTGGGAATGCTTTTTTATGCTGAATGAGAAAAGAAAAAGTTAGCTAAAGAAACTGTATAACGTAAAAGAGGCACAAATTAGCTGAAGAACATATCAAAATGTGATAGGAAGTAATCAGAAACTTTAAACAGCAGAAACCAGTAGAATCATCTGAAGATTTTGTAGGATAGAATCCTTTGGCAAAATAATAGCAAAAACACACTCATCTTAAAAGCAAAACATTTAAAGTTGATTAACCAGAAGAAAAAGTCCAAAAGTATCTGTTTACCTGGAAGTTGGCAGAAGTAAAGCATCTGCTTACGATGTTAGCAGATGCTTTATTACAGTGGAAACGTTAGAGCTTCATTAAGAAATGTGCACTTAGGTGTGTTGTCAACAGGCCTTGGTAGTGTAATTTGAAGGAATTGGTTAAGTTCGGGTCGTAGCTATGAACCATACGGCACAATAAATGAGTGTGCATAAGGAAGAGGCTTTTATTTTTATTTTTACTTTTATTATCAGTCCCCATAGTCTTATTTTGAAAGTCTACCATGGCTTTGTGTCAAGGGAAGGGTCCTGCCCAGCAGTGAAATAGAATCCATTTCTAAATGTGAAATCACTGGTTTTCCATGTAATTGGGTAAATAGATGCTGTATTAGAGCATAAATGGGAGACTTTTATCGTGAAATTTGCTCTGGGGTGTGTTTTGAAAAGGTCCCTAGAGTCTAATAGAAACTAGTTGGTGGAGTTCGAGTCACAATGCTGAGCCATTTGCATCAATTAATACACCAGTGCAATATAGAGGCTTTTATTTTGTAGGGTCCCTGCAGGCTTATTTTGAGAGTCTAGCAGGATTGTGTGTTGAGAAAAAGGTCAGACCCAGCAATGATACATCACTCTTTGATGATAAATCACTCTTTTCCCCATTGCCTCCCTGGCAATGGGAGGCTTTTATTTTGAAATTTTCTGTGGGGTGTGTTTTGAAAAGCCCCCTAAGGTCTAATTTCTAAAAAGGGGTTGAGTTTGTGGCATAATGTTGAGCCATATGCTGCAACAAATATATGAGTGTAAAGTAGAGGTTTTTATTTTGTAGGGTCCGCGGAGTCTTATTTTGAAAGTCTATCAGGGTTGAGTGTCAAGGGAAGGGTCATGCCAGTAGTCATATAGCATCCTTTTCCAAATGTTAAATCAGTGTTGTCTCCCTCCATTAAATTAATATGTGCTGTATAAAGTGGCAGAGGTAGGCATTCCCTTTGAAGCTTGGTTACCTTGAGGATGCTTAAAGAGCCTGTCAGTGACAGAGAGAAAAGCGCAGCACTATTGTTCCTTCGCTCTCAGGCTTTTTTGAATGGGAAAAACAGCTCTGAACAAATGAGTGCTGAAGGCAAACCGTAAATGGTATCTAAAAAATTATTTCAATCTAAGCGACAGCTATCCCTTGTCTCCAATAGGAGTAACTTTCATGGCTCTCGCTCATTCACAACTTTAATGGGAAGGAGAAATAAAAAGGTGTGTCACACCTGCTCCTCTCATTAAATAATATGTAGCTTCTTGTTAGAACTGAGCTCTCAAAAGCCAAACCAACCCTCCAAACAAACCAGTGGTGAGCCAAAACCGTAAATGGTTTCCAAAAAATTATTTCCGTCTAAGTGACAGCTATCCATTGTGTCCGATTGGGATAACATTCATGTCTGTAGCTCTTTTACAACCCTAATGGGAAGAGAAACATAATGGTTTGTCCCACCTTCTCGTCTGATTGGATTACATGCGCACCTCAGGTTCACTGAGCTTCCAGGTGCTGAAAAACCCCACAAACAAGTGGTGAGCCAAAGCTGTATAGGGTATTCAAAAACTTATTTTACTATCGGTGTCAGCCATCCCTCGGCTTCGATTATGCCAAATGTCATGTTCCTACTAAAGACTATTTGGCCATGGTGACGATGTAAAAATGTGTTTTTTCCTAGTCTGAGGATTTTTCTCACAATCAACGTTTTCGTATACCCGAAAAAGTCAGCTAAACAGCTAAACTATAAATGATATTGAAAAAAATCCTTCAATGTAAGTGCTAGTAGGGTCTGAAGATGTTCTATACCAAGTTTCATGTTTGTACATCAAACAGTTTAGCAATGGCAGCGATACGAAAATATGTGTCGTTTTGGATTTTTGTCTGTGATTTTTGGAAAGTCTCTCATTGGATTGCTATTGGGGAAGTGTGGACTTCTTCGTGGTCTAGGGCAAACTGTAGGAAAACTGTAAATCCCACACAAATGAGGAATACATTTCCTAAATCCTGACAAAAATACTTATGTTTTGATGTATAATTTTTCTACATAGAGTGAGAAATGAGTGAGTGAGTTGAAGCTGTTTGGCATGAGTGAAATGTTTGAAAACCCTAGAGTGACCACACTCTAGCAGCTGAACATTCCGTCCATAGACTTCCATTATAAATGTGAAAATCTGTAAAAATTCTTTAAACGTTTGAAGCTTCACTGAAGCAAACCTGTAAAAGTTAGCAAAAAGCTGAGTTAAACAGTAATAGCAGAAAGATATGGAAACATTTTAAAAGTTGAATGGTGTTGAGAAAAACGGAAAAAACTATTTGGCCATGGTGACGATGTAAAAATGTGTTTTTTCTGAGTATGTGGATTTTTTCGCAGAATCAATGTTTTCCTATGCCCGAACAAGTCAGCTAAACAGCTAAACCATAAATGATATTGAAAAAATTCCTTCAATGTGAGTGCTAGAAGGGTCTGAAGATGTTCTATACCAAGTTTCATGTTAGTACATCAAATGGTTAAGAAATAGGAGCAATATGAAAATATGTATCGTTTTGGATTTTGTCTGTGATTTTTGGAAAGTCTCTCATTGGATTTCTATTGGGGAAGTCTGGACTTCTTCGCGGTCTGGGCCAAACTGTTGGAAAACCGTAAATGCCACACAAATGAGGGTTACATTTCCTGAATCCTGACAAAAATCCCTACGTTTAATGTATAATTTATTTCAATTGAGTGAAAAATGAGGGAGTGAGAAGAATTTGTTCGGAAAAACCAGAACAGCTCAAAAGCTAGAGCACGCACTCTAGCAGTTGAAGAATTCCGTCCATAGACTGCCATTATAAATCTGAAAATCTGTAAAAATTCTTTTTAACGTTTGAAGCTTCACTGAAGTAAAACTATAAAAGTTAGCAAAAAGCTGAGTTAAACAGTAATAGCAGAAAGATACGGAAACATTTTAAAAGTTGAATGGTGTTTCTAGCTGAAAGTATGCTGCAGTAGTTAAAGGTCGAAGATGATAGAGTTGAAGCTGAATTTTGCTGAAATCTAAGAATTCTACATGCATTTCAATGGGACAAAAAAAAACGCAGAAAAAGCTGAATATCGCGAAAACTAAAAAATATATCTTTACCAAAAGACATAGCACAATTCTCCTGAACAAGCTGAACGTTTTGATACCAAAATTGTTGAAATCAGTTGAAAACTGCAGGACTAGTTAGAGTCAGAAAAATTTAAAGTGAAAAACAATAAGTGGGAATGCATAAGCATTCCCACTTGATTATTAAAAGCAGAACAACAAAATGTTTTGTGGATGGCTATAAAGAGAATAATAGATGTAGCTTTTTGAATCAACAGCAACAACATCTACTAATTTCACAAATTATTAATAATAATCAAATAACTTTATTTAATTGAGGTATACCCTAACACAACAATTCTTACTTTGAATATTTATGCCCCTGGATCGGACATGGCCCAGCTGTTGGGATCCTCAGGCTTGCCCACCAGAGGGCACCGAGGATCCTCTTCTGCTCTTTGTATTTTCCCTTAGGACTGAAGTTACTGTTGGGACCTGGAGATTACCCTCTGTCTCCAGCAGAGTACGCCGTGGGTCTCCTAGGGCTGGAGTCTTCCTGCACACCTGTTGTTAATCCACCCATCAGGAGATCTCCCCTTTATAAGCTCCTGCCAGGCCTTGCCTCAACGCCGCAGTGTTGATCTTTGTTGGTTAGCTTACTGAGCCTTCTGTTACAGATTGAATCTTGGTTAGCTCTTGTGTGAGATCTGATTCTAATCTCTCCTTTGTCTGTGCCTCACAGGAAACCTGTCTCTGGTCTGAAGCTCAGGAAGAGCTGCCTCACTGGAAACCTGTCTCTGGTCTGAAGCTCAGGAAGAGCTGCCTCACTGGAACCCTGTTTCTGGTCTGAAGCTCTGGGAGAGCTGCATCACAGGAAACTGTCGTCTATAATTCTCTTCTTGACGACTTAAAATTGAAGCTAAGTTTTATAAAAATTCAAAGTTCTTAAAAAGCAGAAAAAGTCTCAAACAAAGATAAAAAAATTCAGGCAGAGGCAGCTGAGTCCAGGTCCAGTGTGTTTATTGCTAAACACAACACATTCACACGGAGCTGGTCACCGGTGAGCATCAGCTGAACAAATGGTGAAAACAGCTCCCTTTTATACATTTCTTATCGGTGGAAAACCCCCTTCAGAACATATTTCAGTCTTTGGTAAAGGTCACATTGATATTTATCTGCAAATCACGGTGACATTCATAGACACATCTCATTCTTGTGAGAGCAATCTCTCAGGCCGTGAAAATATCTGGTGCATTCAAATCAGAAACTTATGACAGTTTAATCACAAACATGTTGGAATACATCCTTTCCTTACCTCAAGCCATGTCAGTCTGGCCTAGTGCTCCCCCCTCGTGTCTCAGTCAAAGCATCACCCTTTCTGGGACCATTACCGCTCCGTGTGCCTTGAAAATAACAACTCTATTTATCACAAGTTGTATGGCCAAATTTTGCTGAGCTGGGCAACCTTGA